GTGGGAGGAGGAGGGGGTGGTGGAGGAGGAGGAGGAGGAAGAGGAGGAGGAGAATGAGGAGGAGGAGGAAGATGCTCACCTCCCTCCCTCTGCTCTTCACCCTGAGCGAATTGTGGTTAGAGAAGCGCACCTTCAAACTTATCCTGATAAACTTCGGGATCTATTCCGTAAACGCCTTCTTCGATGGGTTTCTGATAAACTCACGAAATTGATAACATTGATGATGATGTCGTGAACGCCTCTCTCTCGTTCCTCCCCCCAGCCTGGTCCTTCGCTATCCTCAGAGCTTTTGTAGTGGGTGGGTCACGTCGACGCGTTTTCAGGAGCAGAATGAGTGTATCTTCGGTTGTGCTGCCCCTCATAGATTCGCCCACACGTGGTGCTGCCCTCACTTCTGTGTGTATCTCACTCTTACTGTCCGGCATGCTCTTCCCCCGCGCCCTGTTGCGCGGTTCGGCCTCCTGCGGCCATCTCGGGGATCCATGCCTGTTTGTGGGAGCGCTGCGTGCTCGCACAACGCTCTGCGCACCTTCCCGTCCCCCGCGCCTCTCACTTTTCAGGTGTGTCTCTCTGTTCTGCCTACAGTGAGGCATCAGGGTTGCAGGCCCGCTACAGTTGCGGGTCCTAGGGCGAGGTGATGAAGCAGGATTGCGCCCCTGGGTACGCTAGAGGTGGAGGAGGAGGATGAGGACCAGTGCGAACCCAAGACGCATCAACGAAGTTGCAGGAAAACGTCCCTCCAAGTTCACTCGTCATGTCCCCTATGAAATTTTGTTTTCATTGTTGGAAGTGCCCCATCGGAAGTCAACCCGTCTGATAATCCCCAATCGTACCACGTCGGTAATCCTGGGACTTCAGCGCCGCGAGCCAACGTGACTTCTGTGTCCGGACAATCCTAAATCGCGCCAAAACAACATTCCTAGGACGTCAACACCGTGGCTCAGCGTGACAGTTGCGTCCTGACAGCCTGTAGTAATCGTCCCAGGGCGCCGTTTCCTGGGACTTGAACCAATCGAACTCTTGAGCCGAGAAGAGGTACATCTTCACGAACATGCGGCGGGACGAGTTCTTGGCCGCTCGCACCGCGTCGCGCCATTCCTGCGCCCGGAACCCTACGGGCCGAGCTTTGGCCTGGCGTCTCTCCGCCTGGTGTTCGACCCACAGCTCGTCTGCGCTTCCCGCGCAGAGCTGAGATTCCTCTGCGGAGTCGAAGGCCTGCGTCCGCCCGATTTTCAGGTGGTTGGGCAGCGTCATGCCGATGACCCGCATGTTCATGCTCATGGGCACGTGGACCGAGTCAGAGTTGCCTATCACGAGACGTGTCCACAAGTGGGTACACCCAGCCGTGGGGACACATCCCGGTGCGAAGTTCGTAGCTCAGCAGCTGCCACGCGTCTGCGGCCACCGCGGGCGGCACCCCGTGCCATGGCCACATCCAGCTCGGTACCTCCACGTGCGAGAACGCGTTGCACTCGTCCAGCGCGGCCCCGGCCACGGCGTCGGCAGGAGCGTGCAGTCGCAGCGGCGTGCCTTTGCCGTGTAGGCCGTGCTCCTCTTGCTCGTGCACGCCCCGAGTGAGGTAGTTGGAGGCGCAGGCCATCAGTATCTTCCGCTGCTTATCTTCCGAACGTTTCGGGGCCACCGTGAGCACTGCCGCGGCTCCGACCTCGCTCTCCTTCGCAAGTTTCCACGTCACCTTGACCGGGTCGGGCCTGTTCAGGTGGGTCACGTACTCGCCGTGCACGCTTCCCAAGAAGCCGTGTTGTCTCTCCAGCTCCTTGAAAGTCATATGGCTGCGGTGGCTCGGGTCGGCCATGACGTTCTGCCCCTCGGGGTAGAAGGCGGCCCTCCTCGCACTCGAGGGCCTCCGACATCATGGCCTTCGCCTCGTTCGTCAGCTCGTCCGCGGCCCAGGCCTTCAGGTCCACGTGTGTCGCGGACCTCTTGCTCTGGCCGTGCTCCTCCACCGCTGTCGGACCCGCCGCTGCAGGCAGGGCTCGGGCGCCAGTCGGGCCCTAATCCCGGCGCGCCTGACGGAGTCGCTGCGCCTCGCGCAAGGACGCGCGATGCGAGCGCTCGATCGCCGCCCAAGTCGTCGACGTGTGGGGGCTAGTGGAAGGGTGGCGTGCGAGTTCCTGACAGTCGCCTCCGCGCATACCCCGCTGAGGATCTGGTTGGCCCGCCCCCAATCCTGGAGCTTGGAGCGGTCCCTGTGGAGTCGACGGCTCGAACGTGCTGCTCTGACGTCCGTGGCCCGCGGCCGTGGGATCAGACGCACTGGCGAGAACTTCTCGGATATACTCATGACCTCCATGACCTCCCTCGTGGCCGTCTGGCCAGGGTGTTCTGCGGGCGCCCGCGCCTGCTTCTTCTCCTGTTGCGCGAGGGTCGCAAGCCCCCCCCAACGCGCAGTTGGGCCTGGTCAAAACCCCGCGGGGGCCGTGCCGCCACCTCCACCGCCTCGGCCCTTCCCTTTGTTTTTCTTCCTGTCCTCGCCGAGGCCCTTGGCGCCCCTGCGTCGATGCCGCAGCTCCGCATCTGCGCGCTCTTTTCTTTGATGCTCCAGCTTGCTCTGGCTGGTGGCCAACCGCGCGAGACATGGGGGGGCGACGTCGGTCCGTGCCCGGGCGTGCCATGGCCCGGCATGTGCGCCGCCCCCTTCGGAGGGGCAGCTCGAGTGAGTCGTCCGTGCTGGGCGACCCCGTCAGCTCGGGGGCGCAGCCCGAAGTCGATGCCAGTCGCCAGCGTCTACAAGTCGGCCCCGGTAGAGATCGTCCGACTCCGGGCGAAGCGAAGGCTCAGCCAGTCTCTCGCTCCGCTGCTGCCATCCGCGCGCGTGGCGCGGTAGATCTCCTGCGCCGCGCTCTGCATGCCGAGCGGGGGCGGGGCCCCCCCGCGCACGTCGGTGCTGCCGCCTGCCGTCGCCGCCAGGGGCTGCGCCGCGCCGAAGCCGCCTTCGCCGCCGGGCGGGCGCGGCGCCGAGGCCATGGCCTCCAGCGCGGCGCCGAGCTCGCCTTGGCGCGGGGCCGAGAGCGCCCCGCGCCCGAGGTAGCCGTGGCCGCGCAGCGCGGCCCGCGCCGCGGGCGCCAGCGCCCGTCCAGGTCCGCCACCGCGTTCCAGAAGCGGAGCGCCCACCATGGGTCGCTCCGAGCCGCTGCCGCGCGGCCCGTCGGCAGCGCCTTCACCTGGGTGGCGCAGGCCTCCGTCAGCCCTCCGTCCTGCAAGGGCGCGTAGACGCCCGCGCCCTGGCCTGCTGCGGCGCCGCCAGCAGCGCCGCCTCTGGCAGGCGCCGCCGCGGCCCCGCCGCGCCGCCGAGTCGGGTCGGCCAGCGCCGACGCGCCCGCGAGAGCAGGCCAGCCGCCGCCAGGGCCTGTCACGTCCTGCGGCGCGGCCGCTGGCGGGGGAAGCGGCGGCGCGATCCCTGGTGGAAGGGGGCCGTCGGATGCGTCCCAGCCGAACGTGCTCGCGCCGCCGACGTCTGCTCCTGCTCCGCTGCCGTCGGCTCCAGCGGCCAGCCGCGGCGCGGCGGGCTCAGCCCGCGGCGCCTCGATCTCGCCTGTCTGATTCTTCGTCTCGGAAGCGAGGAGCCCGAGAGCCTGGCCCGGCAGGCCTGGCCATCAGGCCAGAGCGACGGCGGCGACAAGAGAGGTGGTGGCCCATTCCAGTCGCGCTCGCCCCGTCTCGGCGCGGTAGCCCAGCCGTGCTCTTGGGGGCCTCTTGGGGCTACTTCGGGGCCTCTTGGGAGCCTCCTGGGGCCTCCTCGAGCCCAGTCGGGACTTTCTCGGGGCCATCTTAGGCCGGTTTGGGGCC